CTTTACAAACCCGAAGAAGCCATTGTATGGCGAAACACGTGTTGCGTTTTTGAAAAAGTGTTTAGTGAAAGTCTCACAATGAAGGTTTTTTTTAATAAGTTAGTTATAGATTTTCATGGAATATCATCATCGTATGTCACTAAACAACTTTCAGTTTATATTTGCGGAAACTACTAATCTAATAGTGATTCGTTATAAATCAATGGAAATACTATAATTTATTCTGTTTTCTGCCTCTCGTCATTGACTGTATGAAGCACTTGCAACTATGAATACAGGCTGGTTATCAGTTTGAAGAATATGGACTGTTTTTCATCTTATCATCTTATATCATGCCGATATATTTTTGTCATCATCCAAAAGCTCTTATAATTCCTACATTATTTTGATACAGAACAATGTATTTGTGGAAATCCAGTATTTATATCAATGTTTCTATTTTTGTTCCAGGGCATTTTGATCCGAAGATATTATTTTCAACGGTATGAAATATGGATGAATCTGATTTGTACATCTTTGTCCCTAACAGTTGCTGTAGTTGCAGATGACGTCATCAGAGATACTCAGGGTAAGTTATGAAACTTCAGCTCGTCATTCGAAAGATGACATTCAAAATCCACGTAATGTTCTCATCTTTAGGCTTCTTTGAATCAAGAATACGATTGATATTTCCTTTATGAAAGTCTGTTACGTTATCCGTAAAATTTTAGAAAAACTTCTAAAAGGTAGGCAACCAGGAATACATTTCAATTATCTTTCATATCGCATACGAGAGCTGCTGCCATCATCGATGAAACGAGAAAACTTTTTGTTTGTAGCGATAGGAACTATCGGGTACAAAAAAAGGAATGGAGAGTTTTTTTTCCCCCCCAACCATTTCATATCTTGTTTTATTCATTATATATTAATAGATAAGCCAGTATATAATATATTTCTATTAAATTGATACCGTAGTCTTTCTTCTTCTTCCCTCTCATGAGAGTTTTCGAAGTGCACGAAACCCCCCCAACCATTTCATATCTTGTTTTATTCATTATATATCAATAGATAAGCCAGTATATAATATATTTCTATTAAAATGATACCGTAGTCTTTCTAATTATTACCTGCCTAAGTTCATTATCAATCGGTTACTTTTTTTAGAGTCGATCTTATAGATTCAAATTCTCTAATTTCTTTATTTTGAGTCAGGGTTAAATATCTGAATCTATTGGCGCCCGTTAAAATGACACCCAGTATTCCAGGAACTCATCCCTCTCTCCCTGTTCAGGCTAGCTGTGAGCATAACCCTTTACTTCACCTTGTTTACGTAACTATTTGGTATAGTTGTTTTTTTGTACAGTTAAAAGATAATAAATTTAATACGTAACAAGTCACTAAAAATATCCAAAGAGTACATAGCACATTACAATGCCATTATTGAATATTTCGTTAATTACTCGAAGACTTTCAACTCAATCCTTTTCGAAAGAGGCCCGTTCACTTTCCTGAATCTGATAATACCCTCATTGAAATAATTAATGACACAGATCGTAAATTTCAGCAACTCCAGATTGGGTATTGCACATCACCAGTATTGCCGTTTTACTAGCTTGGATTGAATTAATGCTTCTAATTGGAAGACTGCCAAGTCTGGGATATTATGCCCTCATGTTCTCCGCTGTCCTGCAGAATGTCGTTAAGGTAATGGAATTATAGTTTGGCACTCTCTGCTATTTCGTTTCTTTCTTTGAAATGTACGAATAGAATGGACCGTCGTGAAAAAAGTTGTGATGTTAGTTCAGAGTGGCACATGTTCTTTCAATCATTTCCGAAACACTAAACACGGAGAACAATTAATCCAAACACAATAAATTAAATGAAAATACAAATATCAAGATTGAAGCATGTATGAGTATTCTAACAACTAACCAACTCATATACATTCATCCCAACAACTAGACTCAATAACAAATTATGAGTTAGGAGGATTCATTCTAACAACTGAGCTAAATACATACATTCATTTCAAAAACTAGATTATTAATGAACATATATCAAAATATCTATCCTAACAACTCAGCAAAATAAGTTAATTCATTAACCAGTTTCATCCAAATGTATTGAGAGATAAAATAATTCATTTTCTCTCTTCATTATTGATCACAAATTCACAAATGAAAAACCGAAAAATTGATGTCATTTACACATATGATGGTGCTGTGGGAAGATTGATGAACGAATACAAAATAACCTTAATTATATGTATACATGTTTTTCTAAAACTAGCAATAGATATATAGCAATTTTTTATCATGCCAATGAAAATTAAGAGCAGTATTTTGGAAATAAACTTCACATTTCCAAACGAACTAATGGAAAGTATAGTGAACAAAATTATTTATCAGTTTTTAGGAGTTTACATGTAGAGGAATAACGGCAAAACATCCTTTATTTTTCATGTAAACAATCAAATCGAATGTCCAGAAAAATATCGGGAAAATTTTTATAAATGAGTGGATTTTCTACTATTGAATGCAAATATATTATTACTGTACGGCCCAATTTTGAATTCTTATTTTTTTTTTTCATTCTCGATAGGAAGACTTAACAGATGGTATCTGGTCTAGATTTCTGGCCATATCGGCCCACCCATTGAAAGTGCTGCAAGCGGCTTCATCGGACCAGAACCTGTCATTGGCATCGCTTTAGGTTTTGCCAAAAACCCCGCGGTCCCTGCCCCGCTAGGGACCGAATCAGATTTTTAGAATTCGGCAGAGCCGTAGTCTTACCATCTGACCTGAAAGATCACTCACCATACAAACTAATCGGCTTCGTTAAGAAGCTGGGTTTATTTGGTCGGGTGTGAACAGGTGTGAGTCACAATAAACCCTTGGGGGTTGCGATAGAGAGTCAAATAAGCCCCACTTACTTCTGACCCAACCTAACCTTCTTCATCGGCAAAAGGTTTGAATTAAATAAGTAACCTTCTGATGAATCAATATTCCATACTTTGAAACCAAATCGTACTGGTTTTTTCTTTTATAAGTATTTTGCATGAATGCTTAGTTATTGTTGTTCAATAAATGCAAGTATCCTTCTATTTATTGAAGTTAATTTCTACTCATGAATTGCATTATATATTCTCGTTATCTTACCAATATAAAGGAATCTGGGGTGAGATCTGAGTATTATTGTACCTGAAAAAATTAGGAATAGAATTTCATTATTTTGGAACGAAACACAAACACTACAGGAAAATCAGCGAGGCGATCTAAGAGCAGTCCCTCTGCGAAAGTAGCGATTCACATTGGAATTGAATCGCTTGTCAAAGTGTTTATAAAAGAAAGACAAATCTCTAACTTTCCTTCGATGTTCCAAACTATCAAGGTTGCAAGTGATATTCGCGTCTCCCATGAGGCGGATGGCTCTATTCTGGATGAAACCCAGTAGCTTTAGGGTATGCATACATGACAACAACACTCCAAAAAAGGTCTGATCTGAGATTTATAAAGCATCAGAATTTACTGAGGTATGTACCGTTTTCTAGTTCGGAACAGTGTTTCAAACTTTTGAGAAGCAGCTTTTGCAGTTCTAGTGACATGATTGTGCCAATACATATTGTTATCCATTTTAACCTCCCAACAAACTTATCGAAGCAGAAAGCGGAATTTTCTGTTCTGTCATTATTATATCCATTTCTGGGACATTTATCTTCTTGGAGAAAACCGATGAATGGGTTTTTGTGCCTGAACCTTATTACTTTCACCCCAATTCAAAATCACTTCCAGATCCTTATCAAGATATGCAACCTCCTGCTGCCGGTGAAGATCTAATTGATAATCCTGGCGATTATCAGTTTCCGCATATTCTAAAGAAAAAATTACCATCCCTGATTATTATACACTAATTATTGAACCTAATTATAAGAGAACATTGAAAATAGTTTCAAATGTTTTTTTAATAAAAAAAATTGCATCAAACACTTATGTTTTCGGCAACGAAATATTAACATTTCATGAAATTCACAACATTGAAGCTAGAAACTGCGTGACATTGAAATATACTATATCCTATGTAGAATGCCTATGACACTTTCAAAGTTGAATTGGTATCCAAGAACTGTCTTCAATTCTGACTGATGCTGAACGTGTGTCGTTGTGTCGCCGGGGCTGGAGAAAAGATTTATGAGAGTTCCTGTGAAGAAGAGTCGCTCTTTGTATCAGTAAAGGATACCTCTTTGGCCAGTAACCATTTCAGTATCTTTTTTTGAACATCGTGCATCTAGTTTTTATAGATCTTTCGTTTAAGTACATATAGATGATGCTTATTATACCCAATAAGCCTTGCACATTCTTAGTTTATTGTTTAGCTACGCTTAGAGGCTTATTCGATCCATACACATTCTCAAAGGAATATTTGAGTTGATTGTAATTGATCACAAAATTTCGATGAAGTTTTCAGCTGGTTTTATACATTCTTCAACATTTTACATTCATATCTTTTTGGAGATACTCGATGATGGCTTTCTAAATGGGCCAAGTATCATCAGTTGGTGTCAGTGTTTTGGTAACAGTTCTTTCATCGTTTTGTTCTGATGGTATTTCTGTAGAAGAAAATTCATTATGATCAGGCGATGGAAGCGATGGTTCATTTAAAGTTTTCATTGTTTCTCGAGAAGGAAGGCTGGATTCCTCAATTTTAAGCCTATTCCGCTCTCATCCAAACATTTTCTATTAAATAGAGTGATTCCAGTATTGCATCCAAGTGCTAGTCAAAATATTGAAATTTGAATCTGTTTGGTACTTGCAACAATTCAACTTTCTTCCTTTTTCCTTTCCTCATCAGAGGAGAATCTCCCGAATCATCAACAATAAATTAAAAACATGTTCGCCTACATAATATGAAAGTAAATGACATTTCATACGAAAACAGAGAATGATTTAACTTGCACCCTCTCAGAATGAATGGCTCGCAATATGTGAAATTCCAACACATAAAATCATCTTAACATGTCGCAGGTTTCACTCCTTTATACAACGCCGTTTTCTACAAAAGAGCTGAATCCGTGGAAATGCTTTTGAAGGCAGGAGCGTGGCTGAGACCGGCTTATAGAAATGAACTCCATCTTATCGCGGAAATAGGTAAGATTATCGAATGATCTTTCATTTCGAAGACGTGCACATTTCACAAGTTTGTCCTGATTATTTTGATAAGTAGTGGAAATTAATTTGATAACGGGTTTATTTGTTCATTAGTAACAGAATATTGTTTCTCAACCAATTTACCTGCAACTCTTCAGAACCATTTGTGTTTTTTCGGCAACGACCATAACAAGTGACACTTGATTATGAGATTTTCACTTTAGTTCACAAAACTGCAAGTTTCCATAAACATTTCATACATTTCTCTTGCAAATTTAATCTGTCTTAGTCGTGATTTTTTTTTGAAAAAGAAAACTAATTATTAGAGTTTATTGTATGATTTTCACTATGAAAGGGCTAACGAAAAAAACTGCGACACGTGTTTCGCTATACAATAGCTTTCTTAAGCGAGGTTTTTGTAAAACCTTTTATAGTGAAAATCATACAATGAACTGTATTAATTAAATTCAATATAGATTTTCATTAAGTTTCGGCTAATTTTATTCAATTGTCTTCACTTTCGGTCAATATAAAGTTTTGGGTCAACCTATCACTTCTGATCTATCCTACACTAAAGTTTTGTGTTCATTGNCATTTCCTTCATAGGTGGAAGCAATATCCTCAGCCTAATATTGAACGACAAACGATGCACTCCAGATATTATTAATTGTTCCGATGAGGAAGGAAGGACGGCACTCCACATTGCAGCGCAGTTTTGCCACAAAAATTGCTTAAGGATGCTTATAGAGCACGGTGGAGATTTGGCAGTATTGAACGATGAGAAAGAGAGCGTAGCAGATATAATATTCGAGCAAATTGTGAATCCTGAAAAATTCATCCGGAATATCTTGGATAGAAGTATCGTTATGGAACAGACTGACAAGTATAGGTCTGTTTACAATGTAGGTGAGTAGAATTATGTTTTTGTGAAACTGTCATTGAAAGTGACAAATTTAATGGTTGTCAAGAGTATTAATATTTTTCCGCTTTAAGAATGCTATTAGTTCGAAATATTCTCTTGTGTTAACATCATTTTCAACTAGCGCACTCGACTTTTTCATTGAAAACTTGCTCCACAAAGTTAAAGAGTTCCAAATTATTTATTTATCTTCTAGATAGGCTAAAAAGACGGTTTCGCTGAAATTTCCTTGAACGTTTTTACGTCTAAATCAGCTAAGAAAATTAGAATATGCGATGAATATGCTTCAATTGAAACTCTTTTTGCAGCCTCTTCAATAACGTTAAGAACACACAATTCCACACTATTATTCTTCATGATACAAGACATTAAACACCAGCAAGAACTTCAAATGTGACTTTAAATAAAATGCGTGTGCTGTAAACAATACTGTTTGTTGGTGACCAGGTGATTCAGCGTCTCGGTCACTTCACAGCAAATGCGATAACTTAAAAATAGTTAACTGACAAGAGATCTCGAAATGTGTTTTTAAAGAAATATTAAATTTATCTATTTCATTATGAAAACAGGACAGTTGTACAAAAAACTTATGTTGTGTTAAAAGTAAATTTTATTTTGTTCTTGAAATTGCTCAACTCGCTATGCTCGTTTCGCAAAATTTCTCACTCACAAAATAAAGCCTTACCTTTAACACTCATATCATGAATACCTATTTCTGATCATTAGCCTCATGTTTGATTAGACAGTGATGATAACTTCACGATTCACCTAGGAGGCATCATAGCTATTCACAGTTCGTTAACCATGTAACGTTGCAGAACCATCCCAACATACATTTTCTTGAGGAAAATGTCTGGTGGGGCGAGGATCAAACGTGCTCCATTTCACCGCTAAATATATTATTTTGAATACATTTTGGAATAAAGAATTATTTATTAAAAACTGTCATTCGTCATCTGGTATGAATACTCGTCTATGCATATACATCAAGACAAAAATACGGCATGTTTTCACCTCGCATCAGTTGATCAGTTTCTATAATTTGCCAAAGATACCTTGATGAATGTATAACTCGTAGAAGTATAGAGTATTAATAGATACATTATTTCTCTCACAAGTTCGACCACATATTATGTTTTGCCTTGCAGCATTGGGGTGCTAACTTTGCCAAATAGAGTGTAACCCTTTAAGGTGAAAGTCCTCTCTGTGACTTCGAATCGGAAGCAAGACTTTCTCTTCATTCCGTACAGAGCAACCAGAAAAAAAAATCACATCAATATGCCTTGCACCAAATCCTTGAGCAGAAGGAACAGAATCTACATCAAAGGAGAGAACACTCTCTCCTTGAGCAGATCTACAAACGTTTACGCTTGAAATACTGGAGCCAAATCAGGAGCAGTTATAACTGGCGTACAAGTGCTTTATATGGAAAGGTTACTGCGGTCATCAAGGAGGGAATCTTGCAGTTAAATATTTGTTAACCGCAATATCCACCAATAAATAGGAATCTCTTCAGTACGGATGTCGTAGAGGATTTTCCAGAATATAGTCCACTTGCACGATTTTAGAACTGTACATTTTGGCCTGCATGTCTGCAGCTTTTCTGAAAGGTCCAAGAAGACCCCTTATGATTGTGGATGCATTCAGTATCCTGCAACGTACCAACGTACATAAAATGTTGAAAGTTTAACAAATTCTTACTGGGACTGTTGATCAATTATTGATGGAAATCAAGAAATTATGCTATGAATATATTCCTAATCCTATCAAGTCATTTTGATTCGACTTTAGTAAATACCATAGAAACATTTCGAAAAAATAATCTCTTTTGAAATTTATCATCCTCATATATCACCTACTCGTATATAGCTCAGTATTGTTATAAACCAAAGCTGTTCATTTCGAGGTAGAGTAATGTAAATAAATGTGTATATCTGAACATTTCATTCCTAAACAGATTTCAGTGTCCTGGCGCCAAAAAATTGCGAAAGACAAATGGAGGTGATTTCTCAAATGCTTGTTTCCGCTTCAGAAGAAGAGAAAATAGAGGTTTTACAACATCCGCTCATCGGTGAGTTCTCTACAAGTTTTATATTTTTTTGAGACGTATACTCATAAAGTCGAGTGAAAATAAAAATATATTTCAAATACTTAGGGTTATTGGGAAATATTCCACATATGTAAGGTTGTTTTGCTGTCTTGGAAACATTATTTTTTCAAATATCCTACGACATATTTTTAGGGAAGCTCAAAAATATGTATTTCCAATTCATCAGCTCAAATGTCCCATGAAAGCAGAGGATTGATTTATGATATATTTCGTTGGAATTGGCCGTCAAATGAGGTGAAGACATAAGAAAATATTTGGATTTTAAATATAGGGTCTTTCATTAAGCACTTCCTATTTTGAGTTCAAATAAAAGAAAACATGTGTGAGATATTAACGAAATTTTTTATTCATTTGAAATTCCTATTGATGCCATTATGTGTGGAATATAACATCGTTCAAATGTTCGCCACGGCTTCTCTGGGTGGAGCGCATCCGAATCGTCCAATTTTTCAGGACTCTGAATTTGACTGATGGCATGTGGTATGTTGACTTCGAGGACCGCTGAGGTTTATGGCTTATTTGCATATATCTACGACTTGAGGAAATCCTACAAGAAAAGGTCTGACGGATTCAAATCGCACGATTTCGGTGGCCAGTTCACATCACCTCCACGTGAGATGACCATGCTCCAATATGGCATGGGCTGTGTGGCCCATGTGTGGAATGAAAAACAACTATTTTGACCGACAAGATGGACAATTGATAATGGCCGACAAGATGGCCATTATCAATTGTCAAAGTAGGGGAGACCGGGAACAAAAGTAATACTTTTACTTTGATTTCTGGCTGGGTGTTACCGTTGTTATTAAATTAATATAACCATGTATAAATTCAGCTTGTGTTCTTTACACTAGTAACTCGATTTATTATATTATGATGAATAACAATAATTAAAAAAATTGTAAGTTCGACCACATTGTGGATCGAAAGTAACAAGACCAAGGGTTTAAAAATCTGTTTAAAATCTGTTTTTCCGTTAACCAGCTGTCGCACCCCTATGAACGACAACCCTCAGAAGTAGAAACTTGTGCGAGCTAAGGATTAACGAGGTCTTACCTTTTAACGTGTGATTCCTAACACGGGTTGGAAGATCGATCGTTCAGACTAGGGCTTGAACCACCGACCAACACGGCAGTCAATTCGAGTGAGTGAACAAAGCACCCACGCCGAACCGCTTGGCTACCGACTGGTAATGAATACAATATTCTACATGGTGAATCAACAAATTATGTATTTGAAGACTTCGTAATAATAACACAAATCAACTTCTGTATTGTAAATGTTCAAAAATTATATGTTAAAAAACAAGTCAATAAAATGTATTCTTAGTTTGAGTAATGAGATCAATTTAGTATGATGTTAATCATTCTTTTATAATCAGACTTTAATAACTCAGTCATTATTCTCTCACTCAGAATCGCAATTATGGCACACATAATTCTTATCGTCACCCACGCATTCCATATGGGACCACATTTTACATTCGATACATTGTATCCACTGTTCATTTGGTCGACTATTGCCAAAAGTTTCTGGACAGACAAGACAGAAGCGATCTTCGTCGTCAGATTTAGTTTCCTTTTCTTCAGGTGCCTTCTTTTTCTTTTTTCCTTTTCTCTCTTCTTCTTCACATAACACTTTTCTCTTACCTTCTCTAGTATAAGTTTGCAGTACCATATCTTGGCTATATTCCGTTGTTGGTGTTCTTGTTCAATTAAGTTACTTTCGGGAGTATCCGTCAGACTGGTAGTCTTACGTTTTTTACGACCTTTATTTATTTCAGTCCTCGGACCCGCTTGTGGTACAGATCTGAGATCTTTAGGTGAGAAATTAAACGACTGGGTAGAGTTTGTATATTGCATCTCGCTAGGTCCTGCCACTGGTGATTTGGATCTTTGATCAACAATTGAGTTAGCTAACAGAGGATCAGTGTCAGCAGAGTTCGGGTCCGGTATATTTTGAACAGCCGGTGGCCGGTCATTATTGTTTGACAAATCATTGCTATCTGTATGGGGAACAGATAGGTCAATTTTCGTTGGAAGATCACCATCTGGAGTACTTGGATCAACTTGAATGGATGATATTGCGTCAGAACTAGTCAACACATCATTTGGAGGAATTTGTCTGTTTACTTGTAACGGACGGTCAGTCACAGATGATGGCGCGTAGTCAATAGCAGTAAAAATATCCCTATTAAATGAACTCATGCCGGTGCAGGTGAATCCAGCAATTGCATTTCTTTTAGTGACAGAAAGAGGAAATGCTTCTTTAGCAATCCCAGGAATGTAATGAATAGTCATCGTTCGACCAGGATGATTTCGCATCCAGTAGTCTGTAGCGGTGTTTATCATTTTCTTGAATGGCCCAAATACTGCTTTATCCAAAGGCTGAAGTTTGTGTGGGCAATGGGGTGGGAACGATAGCAGTACCATTCCATTTCCTATAAAAAATCTACAGCTTGAATCGATATATGCCCTGCATGGTTGTCGAGCAATAACGAGCATTTGTGATCAAATGTGAGCTTGACTTGTCTTTTAAAATGTTGTAGAAACAGTAAAAATTCTGCATCCTGCATCCATCCACTAGCATTGCTAGCATTGCTTCAGCACAACCAACAGGACCCTCGCGTATCATGTGGTCTTGGAATCGTTTCAGTGGGAATACGAAAAAAGGCGGGATGTGTCCTCCTTGAGTATTGATGGCAACAGCAACATTTACTAATATTCCACGCTCTGCTGAGGTTACTGCACCCACTTGTTTAATTTCTTTTTGGGCTACAATTTTGCTAGGTTTTCGGATATTGTTACTAATCGATTACCTCAGCAATGTTATCAAAAAATGTACTCACATTATGCTCGTTGGAACATACTTGTTGCT